TGGTCCCAATTTATGTTCTTACTCTAAAAATAAGCTGGTTTTTCTTTCCACGGCATCTGGTCAACGGAATCTGCGTGTAACAGTTTTATAAATATTTACATTTAAAACCATTAAAACTACCTTTACCATCTTGGTTTAAACTCGAACATAAAATTTACGAAATACAATTAAATGCAAGACTCGGAAGAAAGAAAAGTAAAAAGATGTAGTATTATTAACGTACTCATTTAACATGTTCTGTCTTTTAATTCGTATTTTTATATAATAATATGATAATAGTCCAATATAACAAAATAATATTTTTAATAATTAATCAAGTGTTTATGAGTGAAATATGACGTAATTCAATCTGATGCAACAAGAAGATAAATAGATATATAAAAAAATATAATTGTAAAAAGTATACCGCATACTTTAATGTTTAAAGTACGTATTTTTTTTAATTGTATAAGTGTAGGTGTAGATCAGGTAACATGTCTGTGTTTTATTTCGTATAACCTCTATTGCCTACTATTAAAACTGGAAACAATAATTAACAGAGGAAATTATCGCGGAACGTTAATTTAGCTAATTATGCGAATTAGAAGGTATAATCGATGTCACAGAATTCTCAATTTTCTTAATAAACTATTATATCTCGTTAAACCTAATTAATTTGCTAATTAAACCGCTATTAGCGAGATACGGTCGCTGATTTTCATTTTTGCACCTAATTTCTGCCGCTCTACGTAGAAAGTCAGGTAAATCAGATTGCTAATAATTAATAAATTACGAAATATTTCATTTTATGAGTAAAATGTGGGACTTGTAAGAAATGGTAAAACTGTAGGCCAGTGCTCCTTTGGCTGATAAAAAACTGATAATAAACTGTTCACCTAACTAATTAATATTTTATGTATCTAACAAAAAAATAAAATGTGGATATTTCTTAAAATTTCATGATTGGTTTCAAAGAAACGGAATTCCAAGAAATTCTACAGCAATTTTGTAATTATTCTAATAAAGTAAGTAGGTAATTTCTAAATATTTGTTCGGTTTTGCCCACTTTAAATAAAGAACTAATTGCATCAGCTTCTTAGAGAACATTCTTAAAACTTTAGTATCACCATCGTCGTTAACACCTACCTGCGTAGGTATTGTTCAAAGCATGATATTGTTGGACGTTACTGGAAATACCCTAATCAAGATACCTACACAAATATATGAAAGATATAAGATATCGCTTTATTATTTAGCCATGCTTTAATGTTGGGTTAGATATTAGTGCTTTATTTAGTTAAAGGCCAGACTTCGTAATCAGCCGCAACATTGTCTGGCCTTTTATCAACTTTTAACTAAACCACTAATATCTAACCCAACATCAAAGCAAGATTAAAATGATAATAATAATACTGTAACGTATTTGCATCATTATCAGTGTTTAAATAGGTACATTAATCAAAATTCAAATAGTGTAGGAACGAATTTTATTTCTTCTTTTTAACAAGAGCAAAGCTATTCAATTCAAAAGTCCCTGGCTAGCCACAGAGTTGTAGGTACTTTTCAATTTAAATATCCGCCGTGGTAATAATATATCATGTTCGTCTGCATGCTTAGTTTAATGTGCCACATCCATAGTTGAACAATGTAATGAACTAACAACCTCGTTTTTAAAGTCGTTCGTTCCAATCGAATGATTTTCTAAATATCCGACCAGCGATTCTTATTAAAGGTGAAAATTTGAGCATAAATAGCACGTCAGCTGTAATGACAAAGAGAAAACAGAGGTTTTCAATAAGTATAAAACGCTACAATTGGCTATTTCATGGAATTAAATATCCTTGGTGGCCTCCTAGTACCAAACAAAACTGCAGATAGGAACTGGTGATCCAGTTTGCTTTAAGAAATCAGTAACTTTACTGAAGAAAATAATTTACTGTCTTCTTTTTGTCACAAAATACTCTCCTGAAACTCGATGTTCTGATCTATCACAGTTTTTTTTAAACTGACTGACTTCGACATAATTGACGATATGATAGAACAGATTTAAACTATATAGGTATAAGCAAAAATTTGCATATTTGCTGGAAATGTCAAAGGTATGAAACGCATAGGAACTTTATTATACATTTAATAATGTTGCGTCATCTAAAAGAATTCGGCGTTACGTAACTATTAACAATATTATTGGTACTGAAAGCAATTATTTTGCTGTGGCGAACAGAAAAACTGGTTCCATTACTAAAATCTTAAAGGAGATTGTTGAAGTGGAAGAATTAAGACGGTAAAAAAAATACTGCCTTGTACATAACAATTTATAGAAACTATTGTCTTCACTTTATTCCAAAAAATACTAACAATGTAGGATTGTTCCTGAGATGAGCAAACAGCTGGTATATGATAAGGTGTAGTTATTATTTATGTTTCTTGAAATCTTCACGAGATGTCGTTATTTTCAAGGTCAAACAAAAAAACCTAACCTAAACTGAGGATATATCATTTAGCTATGAGTAGAAATTTATTAACCCTAATAAAATACCTGCGTTAAGTAGGCTCCAGAAAGGTGATGCTGTTACAATAAAAAAAAATTTATAGTCTGTTTGGAAATGAAAGAGAGTAATAAAACCCCGAGACAAGAACCGGTCATGGGCGTGGTAATATTTCGTTTCAGGTAATTATCGGGTAACACTAATGCTAACAAAAATTACAGGGATTGGAAAATCGACTATCTACAGACTTTTAAAGGAAACAAAAAATGAACAAGATACTGTAAATCCCCCAAAATCATCTACAGGGAGGTCAAAAGTCGTTATAGATGATTTCTTCAAAAATGTCATTCGCAGAAAAGTACACTCATTTTATTTTAAAAAAGAAATACCAACGCTAAACAAAATTTTAAGTGAACTTTCAGAGGACAACGATTTGCCAAAAATCAGTAGAAGCAAATTATGGGCCGTCTTACGAGAGTTGAATTTTTGCTGGGAAAAGCAGAACAGGAAGTCAGTTCTTATCGATAAAGATGAAATTATTTGTTGGCGAAGATCCTACTTAAGATCAATTAGAAAATTCCGTGACGAAGGGAGGAATATTTATTATCTAGACGAAACTTGGGTCAACGAGGGATATACTGTAACAAAAGTATGGCAAGATAAAAATGTAAAAAGTTTTCGACAAGCATTTTTGGATGGACTTTCAACAGGGTTCAAGGCACCTTCAGGTAAAGGGCGAAGATTAATAGTGACACATATAGGTAGTGCCAGTGGTTTTGTAGATGGCGGTTTACTTTTATTTGAATCTAAAAATACAGGTGACTATCACGAAGACATGAACGCAGATGTTTTCGAAGAGTATTTTACACAGATGTTGGATCTTATTCCTCCGGGGTCTGTAATTGTCATGGATAATGCCAGTTACCATTCACGGCAGACCGAGCGGACGCCTACGACTGCTTGGAGGAAAGCCGATATAATTCAATGGTTATCCGGAAAAAACATTTCTTTTGAAACAAATATGGTGAAAAAGGAACTTTTGACACTTGTCAATCTTAATAAAGATCAGAAAAAATATGTTATCGATGAAATGGCAACAAATCGCCAAATAACGGTACTACGGTTACCACCTTATCACTGTGAACTTAACCCAATCGAATTAGTCTGGGCGCAGGTAAAAGGAGATGTAGCGCGAAATAATACGACGTTTAAATTAAGTGACGTGAAAATTTTGTTAAAAAATTCCTTGGAACGAGTAACTGCAGATAACTGGCAAAGATGTATACATCATGTACAAAAAGAAGAGGAGAAAATGTGGGAACTCGATAATTTAATTGACGTTACTGTGGAACCTATCGTTATCAATCTAGGAGACGAAGATAATTCATCAGAATATTCAGAGGATGAATTTTAATATACCTACTTTTTTATTTTCTTTATTGTACATTTATACAACACTACATTTACTCACCATAATTTGAATTTTCAAAATACATATATTTTTGTGTGGAATAAAAGTCTATTCATTAAATTTAAATAAATATTTTGATAATAATATTGAATAATTTTATTTGAATTACTAAAAACCCTCTTAACCCGGTTATGATGCTTAAAGTAGCCTCATGTTTTGAAATGCTGTTTTTATATTGTTTACTTATAAGAGAAATGGACCGAGAAATTGAAGCGGCATAGACAAAGACGGATTGTCGGGGATTAAATTTTAGCTACCTGCTACAATTTAGTACAGTCCGATCGCACAAAGTTTTTTTAAAAGTACACCTCATCCTATACCGATAATACATAATATAAAAATATTGAATATAAGCACCAGTACTACATTTATTTACGATTTGCATACACAATAAGCTTTTATTACTCTCTTTCATTTCTAAACAGACTATACTAATGACGCCTATTAAGTTGTTAGGTTGCCATCCTATTATAATATACCAGCAAATATGTTTTTTTACTATAAATAAGTGATTTTTTGGACACTAATAAGTAATTTTTTAACATAACTACCTATGTGCACTTAGCTGCATTCAATTATTATTAACTTTGGTTTTAAATTTCCCCTTCATATTTAAAAAATTACGAATAAAAGACAAGACGTCTATAATTGGACAATGTCACCATATCACACTTTATTACTCTTAACATTTTAAATAGAAAAAAAAAAAAAAAATTATAAGCCAAAATTTATAACTTTTGCAATGTTGGCGATGTACTACATAATGTAGTTCTCGCGTCTGCCTGTCAACTATGATTACTTAAATTTAGTGAAAAAATGCTAGAAAGAATTTACCTATTTATCATAAAAATGTGCATACACTCTTGTGTAAAATTGTGTCAGCAAAATGATTTTTATTAAGCTTAGCATATGACATTTTAACAATAATTGCTATTATAATATATATCTTAGCAAAACATATTTATTATTGATTTCTCTCAGCGTAATGTATATTATTAATTATTTATAAATTGTTGTACTTTGTTATTGTATTCTGTAATAATAATAATAATAATTTTTAGTGCAAAATGGAACCGAGAAAGGCCCTCCGAAGGACAAGGCTGACGTGGACATCATCCAGAAGTGCATAGGGGTATTGGGGCGGTGGCATATCTGGGTGTGCCTTATAATTTTCCTGGTGAAGTTTCCGGTAGCCTGGCACCAGCTGAGCATCGTTTTCGTGGCCCCTCCAGTCACCTTCACTTGTGCGGAGAATATTACCGACAAGTGCTCGTCGAATTGCTCCAGTCACGTTTTCGATACGTAAGTGTGTAATAATAGAAAAATGCCAGAGAAGGGGTGTTCTTATCATATTTGGCCGTAGATGGAACGCAAATGCCAAAGCATGTTGAAAAATTTAATTTGCTTTAGCAGGGAACCTGTATAAAATCAAAATTCGTTCAAACATCTAGATCTAGGTTTTAAGAGTAATTCCGAGAGTAATTCTGACGTCATATGCTACGTTGGTAAATCCCTGGACTTTCTACAGTTTGATTGGCTTACTTTTGCGACGTCCGCGCTCAGTGGCGTTTTTGAAATGATTTTAAACGAAATGAAATATTTCCAGTTTTATTTGCAGTATTTTACTCTGTTACTGAACTGTTCTTTTTGCAGTTTTATTTACACATATTGCATTTCTTGTTCCTACAATTTTTTAATGGTAATAGCTGGTAAGTTGCTGTTTAAGAAAGTTAAAGAAAACATTGCCAATTATGTTAGAACGCCGAATATTGTTTTCGAGTTGAGATATGCACTTCATTTTACTTTTGCTAGTGCATATTAAATTAGAATTTTATTATTCTTATATGGTTTCACTGACAACGACCTTTAGTAGTTATACTAACCACATCATTAAAGAATCTTGGAAAATTATGGTTTTAAAAACCATAAATACGTATACAAGATGCCCAGAAATAAATTGCAAAAGCAACAACAACTCCTCTGTATAACAATTTTTTTGGAAAAGCCACTGGTGCATAAATCGAAACGGTTTGATGCGGAATTAATTCAATTATTATTATTATTATTGGAAAATAATAAAATTTATTATAAACTAGTTAAAAGTGTTAAAACTAAACAAAAAGAAATCGATGTTTATGTAAAGGCAAATTTACACGAGGCAATTTGGATGTACATCGATGATGATTCATCAAAGATGAAACAATGTAAATAACGTTTCATCAACATTTCATCTAAAGGCGAATTTACACGATGCAATTTGGATGTACATCGAGGATGATTCATTAAAGATGAAACCATGTAAATAACGTTTCATCAACAACATTTCATCCAAGATAAACAGTTCTGCCCCTTCGCTATCGGTTTCACCTTAGACGAATCATCCTGGATGTACATCCAAATTGCATCGTGTAAATTCGCCTTAAACCAAAACAGTTTCCAACAATCAGACGCATGCGCATTCCGATATAATCCTCACATAAGGTTCAAAATTATTTGCTTCGAATCAAATGCAATTGCGTTGGACTGTTGGAAACTGATTCTAATGCACTAAGAACAAAGCTAACCCCTCTTACATACGAGCGTTGTTTTACCGATCGGCAACCGACCGTCACACTTGCCGGCAACGATTTTGTGTGTAAAGATGTATTTAACTATGTGTAATTTAAAATTTAGTCGGTTGTTTTGCCGATCGGCAAAATACCGTCCGTGTGTAAGAGCCGCAAGTGCTAAATAAAAAAGGACGACCAATCACAGGCGTAGCAGAAAATATGACGTTTTAGAGCGCCAAATTTGAAATGGGAAATACCATGTTGCAGTGGTTACATCCTAGATAAATGATGGTTACATAAAAAAATTGTATACTGTTAAGTATACGGCAATTTATAAAAAAATTGTAAACATTAGTCTGACTGTTTGAATTTTTTTCGTAGTTTTGTTTCCAATAAACCTTCTGTGTAGTTGAAGCATTGTATGAAATTGTATTCTAGCTAATTTGCAGTAATCTTACACAGTAAAATTACATAATTAAAATTAATGCAACTTTGCTAAAATTATCATATAAAAATTATAGCTTGCGGTTATCTAAGATCCTATACATGCGAAAAAATCATAACACATAAAATTAAAAACTATTCAATCAATTTATAATGATTGTGTAAGTATATAGTTAATTCTTGTTCATGGATATTTTTCAATACTTTCATATTTTCCTTATTTACATCATTAATTATAATGATTATTTTATAGTTGTTCTTCGATGACTTGTATGTAATATTTGTAATCTTTTCTAGTTCTATTTTCACCAACACGATCGCTATAGAATGGGATCTGGTGTGTCAGAAACAGTATTTGGCAAATTTGGCCCAAACTATAACCATGCTGGGAATTCTATTCGGAAATATGGTATTTGGATATTTATCAGACAGGTAAATCTTTATTTTTTTGACGTTCCAGTAGTCTTAATAAAGTACCTACCTTGTAATATTTCAGCAATCAATTTTAATACAAGTTGGTCAACAAATTTATACACACTTTATTAAGTATTTTTCACCTCCTTTTGACAGGTTTGGTAGGAGGAATCCCCTGGTTCTTGCAGTAATACTCCAAGCGGTTTCTGGTTTAGCAGCAGCCTTTTCACCTTGGTTTACCCTCTTCCTGATAATGAGATTTCTGGCGGCTCTAGCAACAGGAGGGACCATGGTGACTAGCTTTGTTTTAGTCATGGAACTAGTAGGTGAGGAATAAGACGAGATATTCTTCAGAAAATAATATTTGGTTATTATGTACACTTAATACAGGATATCCGGAAATTAATAAAGGTTATAAAGGTATAAGACGGTCAAGAAGCAGGTGTGTCGGTCACAAATGACGTCACAATGCGTTCTAGGTCACGTGACAAAATTTACATTTTTACATACTTTTAAACATCTACTTATAATTAATTTATAGCATCAAAGAAATTATTATTTTTTTACCACCATTTATTGTTGTCGGTGATAGACTACAAATTTATGCAGTCCTAAAAGAAATTAGATTTTAGTGCAAGATCCTATTAAAGTAATAGTCCACAGTGCAGGTCCCCCCTGGAAAGTTTATTACCACATACTTTATGACTCGTGAGGAGCTTCGTTTTGACGAGTCTACCACACTTTTCTTCTGCGACTTTTCTCGATTCCTCCGCTTTTCTACTCGGAAAAGTCTAAAAACATGGCAATTTCCCGGGGTCTTGAAAAGTCAAGACCACATCTTTTTTTCTGGCTGGAAATTTTGTTGCAACTGCCGATTTAAATTTGTCCGACAGAAATTCTTCCGACATTGACGTGTCTACCGGTCGAAACATGCCAAAATGACAGGGTATTGAAAATCAATTGCCACATAGGTAATTTTTAGTAAAATTAATTGTAAACAATTAATTCAGTCGAAAAGTATTGTTGTCCGAGAAATTTCAAGCTGCGTTTTTTCAGTCCAACAACTGGAAATCTGAATTTTTCGGGGTATGATAAATCGATTACCACATATCTAATTTTCATTTTTTCCCACTTTTAAATTTACTGTACAAAATAGTGATATAAGTGTCCGACGATTTAATATCCGCAAATTACTAAAAAATCAATAAATCAATAGTCGTTATGAAATTTAATTTTTACACTCCAAAAATTTCATATTTATAAATGGTTATTAATTATTAATATGTAAATTATTATCTGTTTTAAATAAATAATTATAATATTGCTTATTTTATGCTTAAAAATTTTAAAGTTATAAACAAATGAAGTTATTTTTGAGACGATTAATAAATACAAAATTCAACACATTCAAACTATTTTCTCCTATAATACTTTAAAAGTTCCCACCTCATGTTACTTTCATGAGTAGTATCAACTATAACAGGTTTAGCAGTAAACCAGTATAGTACCATCATGGGCAACTTAAAGTCACCACCATCCGAGCGATTCTCTTTCTTTGTAATAAAATCATCACATCAACATATTATGCATTTGAGGATCCATAGGAAAAAAAAGGATTATGACTATAAACTGTTTCGGGCAGTTTAAAGTAATTAACTTACATACTATTATACTTGATATAAAAATCCATTTTTTTTTTCAAGTCTTCATTCGCGTTTGTTATTTTTCTTTACAAAAATTTTCCATTTTCTAAAAAAAAACCCAAAACTTTTGTGCATAATTTTTTTACACCATACCACATATCTATCCCCATACATACTTTTTTGAAATCGTTTAATTCTTTTCTCGATATTTATTTCGCTAAATTGAGAATAAGAGATTTACAATTGCAAGAATAAAACGAAAAATATATATTTATTTATATGGAATTTTGCTTAATACATAAAAATACCTTATTAGAAATTATAATATATATTTTTTACGAAATTTTTTTCATCTTTTTTTGTTGGACTGACGATTTGCGGATATATTTTTGTCGGACATTACAATTTTTTATTATAAAAAACACTTCTATTGTGTGTTATTTTTGTCCGACATGTGGTAATCGATTTATCATACCCCGGGAAAATTCCGATTTCCAGCTGTCGGACTGAAAAAACTCATATTGAAGTTTGTCGGACAACAATACTTTTTGACTCAATTAATTATTTACAATTAATTTTATTAAAAATTACCTATGTGGTAATTGATTTTCAATACCCTGTCATTTTGACATGTTTCGGCCGGTAGACACGTCAATGTCGGAAGAATTTCTGTCGGACAAATTTAAATCGGCATTTGCAACAAAATTTCGAGTAACTTAAGCTAAAAAAAAAATGTGGTCTTGACTTTTCAAGACCCCGGGAAATTGCCATGTTTTTGGACTTTTCCGAGTGGAAAAGCAGAGGAAAAGTAACTCGTCAAAACGAAGCTCCTCATGAGTTATAAAGTATGTGGTAATCAACTTTCCAGGGGGGGGCCTGTACTGTGGACTATAATTCACTAATCCCCTCCAATAAATTCAATTTCTTGGAACTTTTTCTGTGTACCACCCTTAAAAATATGTAATAATAAAAAACATTGAAATAAATTATATCATTTAGCTTGACCAGTGTCATAAAAACTACTCTAAAAAAAAATAATATGTAATTTGCTCTGCATCAGATTATTTTGAAATAAATTAAACATAAAATAACATATCACATATGAGTAGAAAAAATAGTATTTTCTACTCGAGATGAAATACCTTTTTCGGCATTCTTATTACTAATATTTCAGATGTGAGGTTTTTGATAATCATGAATACATATGCAAATGCAAACAATACAAGTACAAAAAAATAAAACTTGTATCGATACATGCAAAAGTAAAACGTTGATATCGGATCTTGTCGCTGGTTCTAGGGCCACTACAGATGGATCGTTATTTTCAATCAAGGGAACTACCCTTGAATCTTATTTATTTCCGGATACAATGTATAATACACGTGATAAATTAATAAAAAAGAAAAAAACTGACATCCTCTTTTTCCCCAGGTACTGAATGGAGGACAGTCTTGGGCATTCTCTACCAAATCCCGTTCAACCTAGGCCATCTGATTTTACCCCTCATCTCCTATTTCCTCCGCGACTGGAGGTACTTCCAAGCGGCAATTTCAGCACCTTCCCTGTGCCTCGTAATATACTACTGGGTCCTTCCCGAGTCCCCCAGGTGGCAGCTAGCTGTGGGCAAGAAAGACGAGGCCGTCGCTGTCCTGAAGAAGGCTGCCAAACGCAACGAATTGCCCACCGACACCATAGAACAAGACGTGACGGAGTATCTCGCCCACAAGGACCTCAAGGAAGTAGAACAAAGCAAGGGCAACATCATCGACTTGATAAGGACGCCCATAATGCGCATGTACACGATTGCTATCTGCTTTAACTGGACGGTGTGCGGTTTGTGCTTTTTCGGAGTGTCGCAATTCATCGGACAACTCGGAGGGAACATCTTCGTCAACGTAGCCTTGTCGGCAGTTATACAAATCCCCAGCACTCTATTCGCATGTTGGTCCACCAAAGCTTGGGGCAGAAAGAAGACGTTGATCGCGGGGAACGTGGTGTCCGGCGTAGCCATGTTGCTGATAGGTTTCGTACCCTCCGATCCAGCTTGGATCAAATCCACTTTGTCCACCATCGGCATGTTTGGCCTGGCGCTTTCGTTTCCCACGGTGTACATTTATTCGGGGGAGCTGTTCCCCACCGTCGTACGCAACATAGGGGTGGGTACGTCTTCTATGTGTGCGAGGATAGGCTCTATGATCGCACCCTTCGTAGCGACGTTAGTCACAGTGGAGCCCTGGATTCCGCCGGTTATTTTCGGGATCGTGCCCCTCGTAGGAGCTTTGCTGTGCTATAAACTGCCGGAGACTTTGGACTGCAAGCTGCCCGATACCATTGAGGAAGCCGAGCAATTTGAAATGCAGAAGAAGAAGAGCGGTGAGACTGAGATGCATTAATGATTTTGTTGACTAAATTTTTGACGAGTATATTAATTAAACTGCAAGTTACATCGTAGGGATGATTACTTCCATTTTTCAATTTAAAATGATTTACCATGGAAAAAATAATTGGTTTGATAATGGATTAATTAAACAATGCATAAATCCCACGTCTTAAAAGCCATTGCCATAACAAAATCATAAAAAGGAAAATTTTTATACTTAGAGATTGCAGATGCGATATATGTCGATAATAATTGATATATTACTATACAAATGTATATTATTTTGTTAAATAAAACATCGTTTTTATTTTAGTTTTTCTTCATTTCCTCACTCAATAATGTTTATTTATACAGGCTGTTACAAATTCGCTTCTCACTACAGGGACCTCGGAAACGGTAAGAGGTACGAAGTTGCTTAAATGGGGGCAAAGTTGCGTAATCAGGGGACCAACATTATGCCTTTAAAAAATCAAGACTAACGTGATTAGTTTTCGAAATATTTGAAAAAAAAAACGAAATTTTGGAAATCCGTTTTTGTTTAATTTCAACCTTGTTTGGCCACTTTTTGCCCTCTATCGAATGACAATCAATTTTTATATGTAACGTTTCGTCTCTCCAGGACCATCATCAAATTCATTTTTTTAAATACGCCCCTGGAAATTATCACATTTTTTGCAAGCCTTCATGACCCCCAATACTGTATTGCCTCAGTCCGAACCAGATTCAGACGTTTTGTCTTGAAAAATTCATCTTCAGTGTATTTGTTCCAAATTTATCTAAATGTTTATTTAAATTTCTTTGTTTATTGAATTATCTTACACTGTAAGTGTCGTTAGACCCTGTGAAATCCATCTAGTTATTTAAACTATTACCACCATGCATTAAAATAAAAAATTATTAGTTTTATTCCAGTGACCATTTTTAGGCTTCTCAAGTGCTCAAAATTCAAACATTCCGATCTTTTTGCAGGATATTCATACAAATAAATCTGACATGCTCTTTCACAGTTGTGGTTACAGATGTAATAAATTCCGATAATATTAGACTGATCTTCATTTTCAACCTTTGCCAAAACGAAAATGTTTTTGAACATTTACTGAAATATTTTAAAGAATAATATTCAGTTGGCGTTTTGGTTGTTCATATGCATTTTTAAGAATTAATTTGTCATAATAAAAATAAAATTGTAATAAAGTTTTAATTTTTAAACTTATTGAGTTATGTATGACTAAGTGATCGTAATAGTTAATAATAATAAATGTAACACATGGTGGTAATAGTTTAAATAACTAGATGGATTTCACAGGGTTTAACGACACTTACAGTGTACGATAATTCAATATACAAAGAAATCCAAATAAAAAATTTAGATAAATTTGGAACGAATACACTGAAGATGATTTTTCGAGACAAAACGTCTGAAACTAGTCGGGCTGAGGCAGTACAATATTGGGGATAATGAAGGCTTGCAAAAAATGTAATAAAATTTCTAGGGTCGTATTTAAAAAAATGAAGTTGATGATGTTGAGTCCTGGAGAGACGAAACGTTACATATAAAAATTGATTATGCCATTCAATAGAGGGCAAAAAGTGGCCTTGATAAAGTGTTCTTCTTTTTAAAATATCACCTCAAACAAGGCTGAAATGAAACAAAAACGGATTTCCAAAATTTCGGCTTTTTTCAAATATTTCGAAAACTAATCATGTTAGCTTTGATTTTTTTAGAGGCATAATGTTAGTGCCCTAATTATGCAAGTTTGCCCCCATTTAAGCTAGTTCATACCTTTTACCGTTTCCGAGATACCTGTAGTGAAAAGCGAATTTGTAACAGCCTGTAGACATACAAGTTGAACCAATTTTTACAATGATCCCTTTGATAATCCATGGCCTACATAAATTTTGTTGCAATCAGCATCACTTATTGGAACCGCATAACGAATTTATAACTTTTCAAATGTTTATGTTTGTTTAAAAATTAAGAGGTCTTTTGAAATCCCCGAAATGGTAAAAATTTGAGAATTGATACTCCTGATTATAATTGTCAAAATATAAAAATATGGGCTCAATATTTTGAAGTTAGTAGGTCACTCTTTGTTAGCAAGTACAAAATAGTGTTTTACACTAGTAAACACCAACCCGTTCAGCAAAATAAAATTGCTGTAGTAATTTGCAAATAAAACACAAGTCTTTAATGCGGGTTTGCGAGAAAATTGAAAGAAAATTATAATGGCCACGCAATAACTTTGCAAGGAAACGTTAATTCAGCAAGTTTGTTCTAAACTTGTCCATAATCTTGCTACACTTTTCTTTACAAAGTTGTTACGACTATTAAATATTTTCTCAATAATATTCTAATATGCTTGCTTTGTACACTTTGCTGCAAAGTTAATTATGAAATTACTAGAAACTTTCTTTTAAATATTGTTATTTGCTTGCTGATAGTCTTATAATTGTAACTCTGTCTTTCCTTTGGTACAAAATAGGTATGCTTTATAACATTCAGTTTCTGTAATTATAATATTTCTAAATTGATTTATAACAAAATCATAACTACAAAAACATTTAAACATAAAGAGATAAATATTTCAGTCAGTTGGACTCTATACCTTTTTCGTTAAGAAGCAATCCGGTTTTTTATATGAAAATAATGTCACAACAGGGTAACCATTCAAATATTAATAAAAATTGATTATCAACAAACCTCTTTATTAAGTAAGTCTTCTCTGAAAAGGACCCCGCAACTATCCTTATGGAAAACCGGTCCCAGTCGAATGGTACGAAACTTTGCCGAATAATAGTCCTCAATGTGTCGATCAAAAAAGTCCATGAGACCTAGGTCTGAAAAACTACTGTTCTGAAGCTACAGCCTTTTGAAGTTATCGTATACACGTACTCGATGACCATCAAATTAAGTTTTCTGAAGATGCTTCAGCTATTTTCTGAAGACTAAGGAATGCTGCAGATATGCTGATGACGGATAAGTGTTCAGCATGCGTAAAAATATAAGATGTCGCTCAAGCAGTACGTGTCGCTATCGCTGTTCTTCAGTAGGTGCTTCACCGATTTTCTGAAGACTGAAGGATGATATATGGACCAGTTTTCCATAAGGATAGTTGCGGGTTCCTTTATTGTTAAAAGAAATTCAATCTTCCATATATTTTTCATGGAGAAGGTTTGATTTGCCACAGTGGATCAATTGCATCACACTTTTACTAAGTATCTATTAAGAATTTCCAATTGACCTTTACTGTATATAAATAACAAAGGGTAATTAATTGACAATAAAGTTAATGTTCAAATTATGTCGACAATGCTATCAATAGATAGTTCAGAAACACCATGTTACACTATGGTATTGCTGTAATTTTGGTACTGTTAAGTGTTTGGTAATTTATAAAAAAAAAATTATATCAACATTAGACTGAATTGTTTTGAAAAAAGTTACAGCAATATAAATAATTGTGTTTCACTGGAAGGTTTGTTTTTTGCAGCAAATTACCATATATGTTCCTCAAACTTTCTGCTTCTCGTTTCTTACATAAATTTTCTGTTTAAAAGCATTCATATGAAATTCAATATATTATACTTTGTAGGTTATATCTAAAACCCACACTTAAAACATGTCGATAGGTAGACTTCGACCAATCATCCGAATAGCTAATTAGCTAAATTGTTTCTCAGTTATTTCACCTACGGTATACTGATGAGAATTATTAGTTTGAAACTGATATTTGTTTGGTGGTTCCGCTAACAAGTGATCATAGCTATTTACGAGATATTTAAAGAATAATTAAATGCAGGACATAGGATAATACAGCTTATTTCTATTGTTTCTCAAAATAGAAGTTTATAAAAATTTACTCTTGAGTGCTCAGATTACTGAGTTATACTTTGTCCTGTAGTACCACAAGTTAATTTTTGTAAACCCTTCATTAATAAAAGTTTATTTCATCCAGTGCAATACATACATATTAGCAGGTCACTCTTTGCTAGTAGATATTAAGACGCAATAACATTTATTGTATCAATAAACAGGCTGTCACATTATTTATAATTTGCAAATTTTCTAATAACAAAGGAACATATTTTTAATTTTTTCTAAACCTTAAAAAACGATTACATACCTAGTTGAGTTTTTTTCATTTCACTAAAGAGTCAATTAACTAATTCACTAGCTTTGTATACAGTTACTAAAAGTGTCGAACAATTTTTTATTTCAATAAAAAATAAAATCCAAAACAATTATATTGAAATTTGCAAGTTGTTTTCTTTTACAATTAGTCAAATTTGACAATACCATTGAGTATATAATGGTAGAAGTAATAATTACATGTAATCAAAGATATTACTGATCCTCAAAAAAATATATATTATGTAATTAATGTAAGGGTTGTATTTAATAGTACATATTTATGTACCCATATGTGTACACGCAATAAGAGTCGACAGCGCAGTGTTTCAATTTTAGAGCAATTCCATCGTCTTAAATTATCTTATTATTTTTAGACTAAATCACTTTCTATATTTTCTGGGATTCCCGGATTTTTCTATTAGAGAACTTGCTGACTATTAATAATGACGTTTGTATTTTTCCCGCCGTTTCATAAATAACGAACGCAGACTAATCGTTACTATCAATAACGAACGCATTCCAAATGCTGGGAAAATACGTAGGTAAGTGGTTTCTATGAAATATTGTGGTAATGTATTAATATTACAGTTGATAAGGAAAAGGTGTACAACGCAATATTGTTGATAATTACGTTTCCCGAAAATATTTTTATCTATATGTTTTTTTATCAGTGGGTCAGAGATAAGAATAATATGGAACAACAAGCGACATATTTTGTATTTTTATTGCTTAAAAATCCCGCTTATCTTCCGAACTGCGCATGAGCGGAAAGGCGTCTTTTCAAGGGGATTTTTAGCACGTCCTCCCTTGCTGCCCTGACCCCTTCAGCAGTTACCAAACTACAGTGGGGAATAACCTATTCCAATTTAGTTGTGGAATGACGTTATTATTTCTTTGTTGTAAGCGGATTTAGTCACTTTTAGGTGAGTAACAGCCACAAACGCGTCTTGGCTAGTCGTTAAATTTTGAAAGGTAGTTGTACAATTAGTTTCTTTTTGCGTCTTATATGTGAAAATGCTTCTAGAACAGCTTTGTGAAAATCTTGCACTAGAGCCAGTTGAAAATAACAGTAAGTAAAAGTTGTAGGAGTTCTTAAACTTTATTTTTATTTGCATAGATATGTGGTAAAGTTGTGAGTTGGCTTTATTATTGTTTGTTTGTAGCCATGAATATCTATCCAAATGTATTAACTCCACCATCGAGCAATGAGGACTCACCCGTATATCACAACATGGACAATAATTCCATGAATTTCCATGCCCCTGACAATTATGATGCGCTGCCAGTTGCCACATTTGACATTCTTCCTCAAACACCAATGAAGGTCGACTCCAGTATGATGGTCGACAATCCCAACAGTAAGTAAATATAGTATTAGGAAGGTAGCCCCTTCTAGGAAATAAAACTCGGACAATTAACCATAGAGAAAATTTAGTTGTCGGCAAATTTATATCCCTACCTTTTACACGATTTCACATGTGTTGGTATTAGATTATGACGACCTTTGTTTTGCGAATTATCTGCCAATGTGTATGTATTTAGCCCTGATACATATTCGAGTATATCATATTTCTGTATCTCGGTGGTTCCCCCAATGCTGAATGCCCACGAACAACTGATCCTTATTCAAGGTCAGTGCTATAAATAGGGACTTTTTTTAGATTGCAGAGGCTGGGGTTTTATTTGAAACTTGGCTGTATAAAACACATCTCTGACACGAAAATATATTTGCTTTAAAGTAATTTTTTTTATTGCTTTTTACACTTAATTACAATGTTTCTTTTATGTACATATTATTTATGATACATATTCTGGTATTTGTGGTTTGTTGTTTATAATTTAATTTGGAAAATGTTTATAAACATTTTTTATTTCATATACCTGCCATAATAAATTTATATTGATGTGAATATTGATTATTTTATGTAACTAAATATGAACTGATGGGCTAACAATTTTGATAAGATGATATAAGTATTCTTGCCTTTTATAGATATTGTACCACAGGATGTGGATTCGAGTTCTATCAGGTGTTTACTTCCTACAAGTTATTTTTTATTTAGAGTATTTCTTTTAAATATTAAAATTAATATTGATCTCATAAGATTTAAAGTCGATTACTAAAAATGTTTAAGGAAAAAAAAAACTTTCTAATAAGTACTTTATCAGTATTTTAAATAAAAGTATTAATTTTTAACAAACATGATCAATAATTTAACGCATTATATCAGTAGTTCAGTTGGTAAGAAAAATTAGTAAATGATATTTCTCCATGCTTCAAACATATTCTATGATGACTGCAAAATTTTTTTTAATAATTTTTCAGATCCATCTCTCCATTTTGTGGAGCAGCCAACTGATAGATTCCGTTTCCGATACAAATCAGAAATGGCAGGCACTCACGGCAGTTTAACAGGCATCAAATCTGATAAGTCCAGAAAACAAACTTATCCCACAGTGGAGGTGAATAAGTTCATACATTTTTGTCTTTGCTTCCAGCGACAAATTGCCTTCAGTCAGACACTAAAAGAAATTGAATTAAAAGAGGTTAAAATGTTTTTGATTTAAAGCAGATAATAAAATTGAGTATTATTTCGCCAAAATTACAAGCAATTTGTATGTTTGGTTGCCTATAAATAGGTGCAAATATGTACCTTAGTTTCTTATTAAATGTAAAGATGGCACTAGCTGTATCATGTATAATTCATTCATTTTGCCTTATCGTCAAATTAGTTCTTGAAAATTTACAGTTAAAGAAATCAGTTAACGTAATTTGTAATTGAAATAGTTTTAAATTAGCATTTATTAACAATTTAAAATTAAACTTTGAGAAAACTTTGTCACTTGGGTGTCTTATAAAATGGATTTATTTTAGCTCCGAAATTTCGTGGGGCCTGTCATCATAAGGTGTTCCATTTACCAGCACAACGTTAAAGGTGAAGACTTCATGCCACATGCCCATAGGTTAATAATGAAAAGGGGAAAAGAGGAGCATGATGATCCACACGATTTAATTGTGGGGCCGGAAGATGGTTGGCGGGCTACGTAAGTGTTTATCGGGGTGTGTACTAATCTGAAAAACCAGGAGTACCTGGAATTATCAGGGAATTTTGTAGATTTTGTAGAATTCCAGAACTTTGAAAAAATTTGGGTTTTTCAACAAAACAATATGGCATCAAATAGTGAATAAACAGTCTAAGGTGATTAGAAAAAGATTGCAAAGTAGTAAATCTATAATCAAATCCTCAAGTAATTCTAGTATTTTTAAATTTCACATTTATCACGATTATTATCTATTTACTGACAATGCAACGAAATTGTGTAAAATAAATGTTATTGTTGGTATTGTTACCTTTTATACATGGGTAATCACATAGCAGTTTATCTCGATAACAGCCGGGTCATTTGCCAGAAATTAAGAGGGTATACGACACAAATATCAAAGTTACTGTTCTGTCAATAAAATACTCCCCCTAACTTTAGGATTCAAGATATATCCTTCCATACATTTCCATTATATGAATTAGCAAATATGTATCATTCTTCAACAACTAGCTAGTGTTACCTGAAATAAGTCGAGGCTCCTCCGGACGCCAACTTGTTAGCATCCCAACTACCGGGTGTGTGAGTCATACTATTATTATGCCAACTACTTTAACACCACCCAGTATGTATCAATAGAAGCTCAGGTAAGACCCCGTAGAACTTACAAGGCACACTTCGAAGGAACCACAGCCATTAAGACCGGGAACACGTGGTCGCCCTGGAGTTTTCATAAACAAACGAGTATGGCATATTACTACTTTTATTATTACAAATTCATGATTCATTAAACAAATGTATTCAAGCTAGCACACAACCAACCAATAATCAACCTTATTCGGGCATTGGCCAGGCACGACTCACAAAGAACACCCTCTCCTAGTTTCGGCATCCCGGGCTACATTTTGGTACTCGTAAATTACATTATCTCAAGAGCAAATAAACACTTGGCTTATGCATTCCCTGTGAACAGCTGAGGCTTGATTCAAAGCAACCATGATAGTTTTCATTACAAAATAAAATATATATTGTTTACTATTTTTGCAATACTTTAAAAATAAACAAGTGTTACAATTGCTGATTTACATATGATAGAGCTTACATTTTTGCCTGTAAAATTTTTCATACCTTCTTGGAAAACTTGGAAATACCAGGGAATTTCTTGGTTAAAATTTGGTACACACCCTGATTTATAATTTTTTTATTACATTACAACTGAATATTATTGTTTAAATATTTTTTAAAGCAGTTTTTTCTTTAGTTTGGGGGAAATACCTTTAGAAACTAATTTTTATTTTTTTGTTTCTAGGTTCCACGGAATGGGTATAATCCATACGGCAAAGAAAAATATTGTGTCCGAACTGATGCGGAAGAAAAAACAGTTAAAGATGGAGTACATCGCTAGGATGGAGCAGAGACCTAGAGAACTAACCACAGCCGAGAAGCTCGAGGTGAGTTTTTTTATCGGTTGCATTTCTATTTTCTAACACCGTAGTAGATGACCAAAAAATAAATTTTATTTTGATCATAATCCTTACAGTTACGCAACTAGTGATTGTTGATTTTCATACTGCTCTTTTAAAGTAATTTTTAAATCCACTTATTTTTCTTAACCAGAAAAAAGCAGTTTATAATATCTGCAGTATAATAAGATAAATATTGTAAAGTCAATAAACATTGGGAAAGTAGGGAGATAAGAGGTCTTTAATGTTTAGCTGAATAAACATAATTTGAGCCTGGCGGGTTTCATATAGGGTGGCTACAAAAAGTCTTCACTTGGGAAAATTGTGTCTAGTATATTTAACAAGAAAAGAAAAATTAAATGTATGTGTTTTTTGGTCATCTAGTTCTTTATGGGTAATTTTTTACTAATATAGACATAGACATTAGAAAAAAATATGTAGATTTTATTTCTATTAAGACTTTTTTTAAACAGTGCACATTTTGATTTTGTTTGTATCAGGAAAATGTCTGTCTGATATAAAGGGTTGCCTTAAATTGTCTTCCGATATTTTCAAGATGCATCATATATGAAAAAATTTGGATACTTTTTTTTGTATATCGTTGGGTTTTTGCCAAAGTATTGTAAGTAACATTTTTGGCCAAAACTAAACTCTTCCGATAATTTTAAGTAACAGGTCTAAATGGATGATTTGCCAAACTATCGTAGGTGTTTCAAAAATATTTGTTGAGAAAAAACGGTTTTATTGTTATCGTAAATCCACTTATTTTATTCAAGATTCAGCTAAAATATCGTAAGACGCGTTGTTATTTAGAAAAACTATCGGCAGAGTATCGCATGTACAATCACGTGATGTTGCTTATGATAGTAATTTTACTACTTACGTTACTTTTAGTGTGTTATTGTGTTCCAGTCTAATACCACTAGTAAGTTCGTTTTATAAAAAATGTAAACCATATTCGGTATTAGTCCCCAAACTATTGAAACCTATCTAGATTAATTAATTCAAACCTACTAAAAAACAATCATTCTGATTTATGAAACCAACTTAATTCTTTAGAAAACTCTAATAAATTAACTGTAAGACAAGTTTTCGTCTCGTGCTAGCTGAGAAAAATGTCGTTAATCATTAGTATTTGTCGATGAAAACGATATTTCAATTGTAACGGATCTAATTATAACTGAGAAAAATGACAATTCAGTACTTATAGGAGTTTAATAAAAAAAATTATTTGAAGAACTTAGTTTATTTTTTCTAGCAGATTATCTAGTAATTTTAAAACAGTAAAATGAACGAACAATAAGAATCATAAATTTTTTTAACTATAATCGAGTAATTACAGTTTACATTTTTAACACAATAACTGCCTATTATTACCAACAAACTATGTACATTGTAAATAAATCGGTGTGAGTGAAAGCTGAATTAATCCATCCAGTGAAATTATTGAGTACATTTTCAGTGAATATTAGGCATTTTGATAACACATCAGCCACACAAAACAAAGTTATCTGTACTTTTCATGCGACATATGTTATCCATAGTATTTTTGCCTCCTGATCGGTGTCAGAATTGAGCTATCACATCACAGGAATTTCCTAACCTCAAAAAACAGGTCAAAAATAGCAAAAATTCACGAAAAGGTGTTAGGAAAAATACAAAAATATTTTTTTCTATATTCAAATGTTCATGTATATGGTTAAGATCCCGCCGAACGTGAATCCGCGGTCAGAATTGATGGTTCTTTTTCTAACCCCAAAAAAACGGGTCAATTAAGGTAAGATATCACGAATTTTCAAAAAATAACAGATTCGCGCCAAAGAGCGACTGAAAAAAAGCCTAATTTTTCGCCCCTTTATGAGACCTCGTAAATTTACTCCAAATGTGTGCCAAAAGATAGTCTATGATGAGACTTGAATCGTCTATAAGTTTTAGCTTGAGGCTACATTTCGTTTTCGAGTTTCGGTTGATTAGAGTTGTCATTTTTACATGGATTGTTGGATCGAGGTTACACCGCTAAAAAAAAATCGCTTGTACTTCACATGTGGCATATGTATTCCGAAGTACTTTTTCGCGCTGAGCACGAATTTGCTATTAGAATTGCTTCATCACCCTTCGGTCTTCATGAAATTACTGAAAAGCTTCAGAAAAATGAAGAATTTCGAAGATAGGTTAGGAATTTGTGATTAATACACATTTTTTTTTCATGGTTTCGTTATTAATCCCTCAACTAAGCTTGAATCTGACGTGATACAGGTCAACCAACTACTGAATTGAAATTAGAGACTTACATACTTCCTTCAAATTGGCGATATATCTTGCTCATATAACATAGTAAACTAACAGTCCAAGATTAATTCTTTGACTTCCAAATGACCTGTAGTCATAGAGATTAACGAACCTTTGATTTTAAATCAGCGACTTTGAAAACCCTATAACAATCCATGTAAAAATGACAACTTTATTCAACCATAATTTGAAAACAAAATGCAGCCTCAAGCTAAAACTTCTAGACGATTCAAGTCTCATCATAGACTATCTTTTGGCACACATTTGGAGTAAATTATGAGGTCTCACAAAGGGGCAAAAATTTCGGTCCCTCTTTGGTATATGGGGGTTTTCAGGGTCGCTGATCACGGATCCGAGGTCAATTTTGCAAAATTCAAGATGGCGGATCCAAGATGGACAACCAAATTTTCAAAAAATAACATTCGCTCCAAATTGGGTATTCGGGGGTTTTCTGGGTCACTGATCACGAATCCGATATCAGATTAACAAATTCGTTTTTTAAAATTTAATCAATTACCCATGTACTTTAAGAAGATTAAAACATGATTGGGTACTCAGGATATAAAGTAAACAAAAATATTACAAAATGAATTTCGCAATTCTGACCTCAAATTCGTAGTCAGCGACCCCGAAAACACCCGTATACCAAATTTGGCGCGAATATTATTTTTTGAAAATTTGTTGGCCATCTTGGATCCGCCATCTTGAATACTACGGATAACATATGTCGCATGAAAAGTACAGACAACTTTTTTTGTGTGTGGCTGTGTAATTTTACACATTTATGATAAAATTTGAACTGAAACTGTCAATCGGGTGGACAGAAATTGATACATTATTGAGTGAAAATAAGTCCAGTTTTTCTTACAGTGTATCTTAAGTCGATGACTTATGTTATTTTTTTGTGCAAAATTTAATCCAAAGTATTGTAAGGCTATAAACAAACAACTTAAAACCGGACTTTCAGGTGAAAATCATTAATGTTTTTGAATTTAGTGCTCTAATAAAGCCCTAAAAACAACCTCAGGACAAACTTACAGTTTAAGACTAACATGAAAAGAAATTATGCAATGTCCTGTAAATCTTAGGTTATGTTGTTTGCAATACTCTGGCAGAAAGCAATCGATATCTTATTGATGTTTTAAACTTTCAATGAGTGTAATGGACATTGATAAACTTATAATTACACTACAAATTCACTCTCAACTTTGAATTTCTCGAAAACATCTTAATTTATTGAAATTAAACAGTAATAGTCTACATATCATTTTTTAATAATGAAAATCAGCCTTTTACCCTATCTAAAAAAATGTCCACTTATGCAACATGTGAAATTTGAATAATACAGTATGTTTCATTTGTTTCACATAAATAATTCACTTAAATAAATATAATTTGTAATTTTAGATTTTATAACTCATTTTCTGTTGTTACAACTAAACCCTCTAATTTTTCAGTAATAATAAGATATCTGGTATCGTCCCCAACCTAAACTGCTTCAACTTTAAACATTACTGTAACACTGTGTAAATTAGTGCCCAAACGAAATGACTAAAATTATCTACTGAATTTGTGGCATTTTTTTCCAAAACACCTTGTAGCGTCTACCACCCCCTTAAAGTTTCTCCATTATTTTGAACTACTATCCATCTTTCATCCTGAAAATGTTAGGAGACAATTATGTAAATAAATGGGAACATATTTTTCTAACAAATCCTTCTTTACCATCAATGACATTTAATTTATTTAATATTTATTTTTGTTGTAAAAACGATTTTTAAATGTCCCTGATGGTAATTGTAGCCATGAAAATGCTTACCTGACTTAGTATTAAACGGTGAACAGATTTCCTTACTTATTTGAGCCGCCTTGTATAGCAAAAAGGTGCTTTAATGTTGGTTAGCTTGATCTTTGTTTATGCAACTAAACAAGCATGAAATTATATTTGTTGTTGCATATTATGAATCATATAAATTGTACCTTCAAAACCAAACATCAAAAATCACATAATCACAATCATCACATCGCAGAGCGACGTCGACACGACAATATCAAATATTGCATTTGCGTTGGTCTGTTTGTGGTACCTATATGTTGGTTTCGCGTATTTTAATATAATGGTGTATTTCTTTTGTTGTAAGTTGCATGTGTATTTTTTCATAATGAAATTAGTAAAAATTCAATGCAAATTATGGGACTCTGAACAGAGTTTGTTTCTAACCTACAAAAACAGCATATTTTGGTTAAGTTGTACTTATTTTAGACAATCTTGTCTTGGAGTTTGAGGATTATAGTGGTATTTGGTTTATTTGTGGATTGTGGCTACATTATTTTAAGCACATTTTATTTAACCTTGATTTGCAACATTGTTGCACTATCAGTTACATTCATACTATAAAGTTATTTGTTCCTAGAACTATTTACATTTCCAGTTTTGGTGTTGGGTGAGTCAGTAACATTATTTATTTAAGTAAACTTGGCCAAAAGGTCCAATTGGTGTATTTGATTATAAAATAAGTTCATCAAAAATTGCTTTAATGGTTATCATGATTAGTCATAAGTTGCTTTGGATTTGCATAAAATCTTCAATTTCTCACCTCAGTTACAGATTTTTATAGAAATTTTGTTATTTTCTCCTCGGTTGAATGACAAATTCTAACTACTGTTTATCCAACCAAAATCTCCATTATGATTTTAAATTTTGTGATTCATAGGATACCGGTTGTTCAAGCATTATCAAGTTAATCGTAAAGTCAATAATTTTATCCATGGACATTTTTGCTCAATTGAAATAACACCTGATATTAAAAGATTATTTCTTGAACTAGGTTATTTATTAACTTAAAAGATGTTTTTCCAAGAATTTATAAAGATTACAGTAAAGTGAATCATTTAATTATTATATCATTTCTTTTAAGACAGTGGTGACAAATCTTAGTATGACGTAAGCAATACAAAATTCTAATACATTATTATGTAAAATCTATTTGATAACTGCATTTTTACTACTTCTGTGATAAATGATAATAGATCTTTCGTTCTTAGAAAACATTTATAAATAATTTTTTGGACATCTTATCACTTTTATGTGCTTCAGCATTGCAGACGCTAGGTCTTATCTTGTTTACACCTTGCTGTTCCTGGAATATGTTTGTAGATCTCATTGTAGTAGCAAGCTCTTAATAAATAAGGTTTGCAAATATCGGTATTATTTTATTTGTTTTGTTAAATTAAAAAAAAGAACAAGACCAATATTAGAACCCCATATCTGCAATAATAGTAATAATAATCTGGTATTTTGTGCTTAGGATTGGCCATAATGAGTTTAAATAGTTGTCTAGCTCTCTGCGACTTGTACAGGTAGGTATTAATTATCTTGAACATATCATGTATGAATAATTATGAGAAATAAAGCTGTTCTAAAATAACATAGTTATCTTTATCATTAATTTATTATAGCTTACAGGGTGAATTACTTAATAAAATTTGTGATTTTACTAAAATAATTTTTAAATATTGGGATGTTTTAACATTATTTTATCGGAATGACTTCTTTGAAAAGACCATGTATTCAGTGTTTTTCATTTTACAGTTCTTTGGGCTTGTTTGTAAATATGACCTTTGCAAACGCTCTCAGGGAGAGAGAAGAAGAAGGTATGCATTTTCATGTGTGTTTGCTCGGTAGATTGTAAATACGTGCGGATATCTCTTGTGTAAGGAAGCAATGTTCCGTCGGGGAGCTATCTGAACGTGTTTAATTTGCACTATTTCTTATGACGTTTCAGATTAAAGGATTGGCGGAGGCAGAAAGCAAATCTATTAATCTGAATATCGTTTGTTTGAGGTTCGATGCCTTTGTAAAAAGGAACGATATATTGTTCCCTATTTGTGCACCTATTTATTCTTCCGGAATAAACAATCTGAGTGAGTATTATTCTTGTTGATTGTAATCGTTCATGGACGTGTTTTTTACTGGTGTTCTTTTTACTTTCCTAAAGAGAGTGCCCTCACAGGTGAGCTGCGGATCGTGAGGCTAGACCACTGCACCAGTCCCGCCAAGGGTAATAAAGAAATCTTCATCTTAGTGGAGAGGGTCACCAAAAGTAAGTTTCCATGCAGTTGCTCAATTAATAAATAAAAAGTAAAGTCTAGTGCCCCCGTATTTACAGAATTGTTTTTTTATTTCTAGAAAACATCAAGGTTAGATTCTTCGAGCAAGACGAAAAAGGCGACGAAATATGGTCGGAGTACGGAAAGTTCAACGATATGGACGTGCACCATCAGTATGCTATAGTATTCAAGTAAGTACCTTTTTTCAAAAGTCAGTAACAGTTTGTAGGGAGTGGACCAATTTCGACTTAGGAGGTAGAAATCATATTTTTATTCGTTTAGCAAGATTTTTGCGACATTTTTATTATTAGTCGGTTTCAAATTAATTCATCAAATAATTACATATAATGTAATTTTGAATGAGGGGTAATATTTATATGAAGCTACCTTTGACCTTTAGATATATGTTCGTTATTGCAAATTCTTTATGCAACATAATTTTCATACAGCGGCACTGGATAGGCTATAATTCGTGTTGGCCACGAGCACGTACCCAGTTGGCATGCATTTTCGTGAAATCTCATCTTTCTTGATTCTTTATACATATTTTTACATAAAGTCACACAGAAATTTAACGATGATGAGACGACACGCTATGTCGTAACTAAATACGGAAATAAATTACTATGATATTGTTTACGTACACTTTACAAGACATTTCACTCACTTAAATTTTACAAAATTAAACTTTATGAAATAAAGCACTGCACTATACAAATTTTATTCTATTCGATTCAGTAAAAACTAATACTTTGCACAAAAGATCGCAGGGTTATGTACCTTATTACAAATAGTTTTTCAAAAATCAATAAAATTATAATAAACGTAATAAAATCAAAGGGTGCCATTTTTGGATATTCTTGTTTCACCTTGTTATATCACATGAGGTGGATTGACGTTGTGTAGTTTACTTAAACTAGGAGGCTTGAAATGAAAAACTTTAAACTTGTCTGTCTTTTCTTTGAAAATTGCATACGCAATGTTGAAATGTATCTCATTATTACGGAATTCTTTTAATTTTGATAAGTGATTCTCCTTTTAGAAAATGTTGCGTCAGTTAATTTATTCTGCGAAATTTGGAATACAACAACGGTTTGTTAAAAAATCATCATAAAGGTATTCAAGAAAAAAATTAAATTTTTGTCCAACAACAATTGTTTTAATCCATAGGCGGAGCCTAAAGTTTGTTGATCATTTAAAAAATCCTCCCCATCCGAAATGAAATCAAAAAGTTTCTTTCTATAAGTTTTGACCATAAAAACAGCTCTAGATGAAAAATTCCAACGAGTGGGAGCATTACTTGGAATCCTGTGTTACATTATTTTATTCAATACGTTAGATCTTTTGGTAGATTTGGACAAAAATGACGAAAATCCGGAAAGATTTGAAAAAAATTCTCACTTTATTGCAGTTGCAAGCTTTACTTAAAACTAAATTTAATTTATGTGCGTAACAATGATTAAAATAAGCTTGAGGAGCTATGTCTTATTTTTCATTGAAGTTCATTAACATGACCTGACATAACCACGGCACTATCATAGGTTTGAGCAATTAATTTATTTTTGAAGTCAAATTATCCAAATTCGTTAATTAATAATTTAAACTTAAACTATCTGCATCTCTCCAATTTGTTATGTCCAAAAATTTAACAAATCTTTCAATAACTTCTCCATGCACTACGTATCTAAAAATTACCAATAATTGAGACTTACAGGTAACATCAACTCATCATCAACATCATCTTTAACGGTTGATTTAAAATCTAAAATCTAAAAAAAAGTATCTAAAATTTTCATTCAAAATATTGTTAAAATTAAAATTTTTAAAAATCGTTTGTGGTATCAATTTTTCATGGTAACTACTTATGAAAAAAATACATGGACTTAATTTTTATGATCAAGTGGAAAATATCTACATTCACGAACCTTCTCCTTATAATGTATTTCTGTTTTGTGAACAGAATTTAAAGCGTTTACAATATTCTGCATATTCTACATTTCAAATTGAATGCACGATGAAATATGTTCTTGCGATCTTTCGTGTCTCTCAGGCATTTTATTCTTCGTCGAAAATTGAAATCTACTGTATCCAATAACTGCTGATTGTTTCTAATGAATGTGAATGTGCATTTATCCGATTGCACAATTTTGCTCAAGACACAACTGGAGAAGAATACACAAATTCTTTTTAATGTTCCCCAAAGAAAAAAGTCACATTTGTTGAGGTCTGGTGATCGTAGAGGCCAAACTTGTGGACAATTGTTTCCTCTTCCAATCCATTTATTTGGATACTGGTGGTTTAAAAGACCTTATACCACGGAAAATTTTAATATACAAAAAAATAATACAAAAATAGTGCCGACTGAAAAGAAAATTAAATTAAAATTACTTAATACAAATTTTTTTGCATGTGTGTGTGCAATAGTTATTAAATAAAAAGTACGAAAGAATGTTAATATAGATTTTTATTGAACTTTAAATTATAATAAAAATTGGTTTTTCGATATTTACATTACTTTTTAAGGGGTCAAATAGGCCACTTAAGAAAATGATGGCGCTTCCGGGCCAGCACAATAACTTCGCCAAAAATGATCCAATCTGCAAAAAAAATTTTTTTTTTCAAAAATGAAGAATTTACAGTGCTTCAAACTTTAATGTGCTATTTTTGGCCAAAATATTGTCTATTCAAAAAATTAAAAAAGCCTCTTGTCAAATTATAGAGAAAACAATCATCTAGATTTTAAATAAAAAAAAGTTCAAAAAACCCCTTTATGGAAATAAACACTTCACAAACAAAAAAGATTCGAATTGAGATAAGAGGAAAGGTTTTCATCGTTCCATTCTCAAAGATCAAGAAATTAAAAATCTTAACTACATTTGCACCCTAAAATTTTCAAAATTTACCAGCTCTATTCGGTACATCCAACTTTTTTAAAATGCAATTTAATTTTTAACCCATTCCTTACATCTGCCTTTCTTATTAATCAGGACACCAAAGTACAAAGACGAGAACATAAAGGACAAAGTAAAAGTATTTATAGAACTAGTGAGACCATCCGATATGGCGAGATCGGAGCCTCGCGAATTCACCTACGTACCGTCCAGCATCAAACCGGGTAGCAAGAGACCCAGGCACGACTTCAGTTCTTCGAGTTACGACAGCTCGTCGAGCTACAACAGCAACGATCTGCCGTTGGACGTGAGCAACCTTAACATCCAAAATACATTAAACGTAGTCACCCCGAATCCTGTAAATAATATCAATTTTAACAACTTGGTAAACAACACCGTTAACAGTTGGGACACGAACAAGCTATTGTCGAGCGAGGAGCTGATGGTAGCGGTGAACAACATCGATTCAAACGAATTGCAGAGGTTATTTGCTCAATTCGGACCCGAGTACGCGTCGTGCCTTAATTCCGTGGTAGTAGATGCGCCGGTTGCGGAGAGGAAGATTGGGAAGGTTCGCGTCGCCTTGGCTCAGACATTGATGTAAGTTACTCGTCGTTTGTGCAACTGTAGGGAAGTTCTTATAAAAATGCAATTTGCAGGCCCAGAAGTGCCATAAAGTTGGAGGTGTCCCAGGAAGACAAGCAAATGGCGAACAGGGTATATGAGGAGTTGAAGAGTTTTGTGAAGATCAATCCGAAAACTCACATCGCTAAAAAGATGCTGCATCATTATTTGGGCGCGGATCATAGAACCAAGTAAGTGTTGTACTGATTGTTGAAAAAAATTTGCTCCTGCGTTTCATACAGACTTAGAAAAATTGGGAAATGTTTATATAGGGTTATCCAAAAGTCCCGGTACGGCAGAAAAACTTTCGAAGAAAGCATTTTGGAAAAAATGTTTCGGACAAAAGTGTAAGGATTTTTCCTGCTCTTTCCAAATCCGCAGTAAACAATATGGGTTTCTATTTAAAAAACTTGACCTGATGACCTTGTAGGTCAAAGTCAAGGTCAAATCCAAGGTCACCATCAGATAGCCAAGGAAAAAATTCTTACACTTTTGTCAGGAACATTTTTTCCCAAAATGCATTTTTCAAAAGTTCTGCCGTACCGGGACTTTTGGAAGTCGACCCACATTTGATGATTGTCAAAGTCATGCTTAAGACCATCTTTGGACATAAAATTTCCTGCTCTTTCCAAATCCGCTATAAAAAATAGGAGTTCCCATTTAAAAAACTACTTGACCTTCAAATGACCTTAAGGTCAAAGTCAAGGTCAAATCCAAGGTCACCATTTGTCTAAAACATTCTTCCCAAAATGCTTTCTACGAAAGTTTTTCTGCCGTACCGGGACTTTTGGATAACCCTGTAGTTTATAATTTCAGTAAGTTTTTAAATTCGATTTGATAAAAGTTTGAAGAAATAATGTATTGGATAAAAAATGACCGCACTAATGAGTTTAATGGAATACCAGTAAGTTAATACAAAATTACTTCTGTTATTTCCCGATTTTTTTATTTTGTGGAAAGAGAACACCGGATTTAATTTTTTTAGAATTCAAGTTTAAAGAAAAATTAAACACGCAAAAAAAAAACTAAAATTGAATACTTGCGAATGTTTTGAACGATCTTAAAAACCTAAAACTGATATGAAGGCATTTTAAAAGGTCGCTTTATCGGATTTACACAATTTTAAAAAAATTGGCACCTAAAAATTTCATACCAGCTCATTCTTATGATCGGATTCATATGTATTAAAAAAATAATAGACCTTCGGTTGTTTTTTTACCAAGTTAATGACGTGTGTACTTATAAACCAGATCCGAACACCCTTGTACGTAAAGATCTTCCATATTCGTATTTTTTTTTCAGCGCCCTTCACGTCTTTGTGAGCCAGAACAACCCCGAGGCCGCCGCCTTTTTCCTGAAATTGCTCATAATGTACCAGGAGCTGCAGCTTATCAACAGGAGGAATAGTTATTGCCAGACGCCCCTACAGTTGGCGGTGCTCTGTCACAACGCCCTGCTCGTCGAGTACCTGATGAGGAGCACTGCTAGAGTGAAAGAGACGGGCGATAGGGGCAACACGGCCTTGCACAATGCTGTCGAGGAGAACGCTTCCGTTAAAATACTGGAGACGCTGCTGCAGGACAGGGAGTACGAGAAGGTGTCGGATTTCATCGACGAAGTGAATAACGGTAAGATCAAATTTATTTGTCACTTTCTTGGTGTTGTCATAAAAAGCTTCGTTTCTCTTTTAATCCACAAACTAGACCTGGAGTTTGCGTTTTAAGTTGACTTTCATGGGGACAGAATCGCGGTGGTGTCGTGTGTTCCCCAAGGTTCTCACTTGGGGCCACTCTTCTTTAACGTCTTTCTGAATGATATTCACGAGCGCTCCCATTTTTAATTTTTATTGTTTGCATACATAAATGAATAAATACATCGAATAAAGCAAAGTTATAAAATGCTTTCTTGAACTTTCAGATGGCAATACCGCCCTCATGATCGCCGTTGAAAACAAGAATCTGTCCGCCGTGAAAATGTTGTGTATGAAAGGCGCGAACATAAACCAGTACAGCGACAAGAATGGTTTTACTGCGCTGCGCCTCGCCATCGAAAAACAGCACCTCGACATCTTGAAGTACATCCTGAGCATACCGCACTTGGACCCCAAAATACTAGATTTCAACGACACCTCTCCTTTAGCCGCCGCCTTCCACAGGAACTGCTCCAAGGAGATCACGGAGGTGATCGAGAAATACATGGTAAGTTCGATTATTTGAGAAAAAAATCATATAACGTGTTTTTAGTATACTTTGTTCCCTGCGCAGAGCAATGTTGACAGAGACGAGGAGTTTCCTTCTTCATTTTTTAGGTGAAATTAAAATTGTTTTATCTAAACATCGATCTAAACAAACACAGTCACAGTACAATTACAAATTAATACATTTCTCCACCAAACACAAGTAACGCCCTAACAATACAGCCACACGTTTTCCGTCCATCTCAACTGACGCGATAAAAGTTTGTTTTTGCTATACCACATCATTTCCATTCAAACACTTGTGGTCTAGTATGCTTTGTTTATGTAATTACCGCGGGCGCAAGAAGCCCTTGCTCCTTAATTGCTAAAGTTGTACAATGCCAACATACCAAACTATAACTTTTGGTTTTAAATTATTTGTGATTTAGTCGTATGAATTCTCGGTTTAAGAGGGCTCTATAGCAAATAGGCAACCCAGCAATACCTTTTATAGATTTTATCACACAGTTTTGTCTAAATATGAATTGATGCACAAATAACAGACTTTCCTCCATTATAATGCAGATTTTCTATAAAATTGACTTAGTTTGACACTCACATAACTTTTTGCGAAAAGAGGCGTACAGTATTATCAAAGGCTTTCCTCACCAGCCGCGTCCGCGTCCATTATCCAAGCGTCTTATTCTGAAGGCAATTCCTTAGCATCTTCTAATAGAAATTTCCTCTTTAAAATGAGTCGCCAAAAATATAATTTTTTCGGTGTGAGAGAGGTACCCGAAGTACATCCGTTGTTTAGACAGAGATGCAGACAAATGTCGGTGAAGACGTCAAAATGAATTTTCTCTTTTAAAGCGTTTTCCTGGTCAATTGGACTATGGCGGGTCGTTATTTTGCCGTTAGGCACCATTTTTGATTTTTTAGAGACACTAATTTGGCGATAAAACTTGATTTGAACTTTTTCAATTTTCTATTTACATTCGCGGAGACCCAAGGTTTCAAATAGTCCGTGTAGGTTCCACCCAGTGTTAGATCGCAGTAGCTCATTTTGAAAACTCGCGACTGTGAAGCCGAAGGTCCAGGCTTCGAATCGCGGGTGGGTCGCATTTTTGCTTTTCTTTATTTGAAAAATGTTATATATTATTTACTAACCCACAGAGAATGCACTGCGGAGCTCGAGGGCCGAAAGCCCGAGAGAATGGTCAAGTCCGTGTCAGTGGACTTACCTACCTTTCTAGTATTCAGATAAATTGTGTAATAATAGTACATTGTGTAATGAGTGGGGAAAAGTTGCCAATAGCGCCACGCGGACGCAGTTGACGCACGAGCGAAGTGAGTGCGGAAAGCGCCCTAGTGGCGCTATGGCAACTTTTCCGAACGAGTTGCACACATACTATTTTCTATCACAAGTGCGAGTCGTTATGGGACCTATAGCATGGAAATTGCTAGATAGTACAACAGCGTGATGTTATTTTCATAGCGCCACGCTCCAGCGAGCTCGCGTGATAGAAAATCTATAAAAATGTATTGCTGTTTGCCTATTTTTTGTGGAACCCTCTTAACGATAATGTTTATCCTGAATTTTTTCATTTTTGGGAAATTTTAATGAATACCTGGAATAGAATAAAAAACAAAATTCAATAGCAAAAATCATTAATTTTAATTTATTGAGCACAATTATGCTGCAGGAATCCTTATATTTATGGTTATTATTTTTTTTAAACAACGCTAACCAATTGAAAGTAGTTTTTTTTGTCAGTTTTGTTATTAATGAATGTACACGCAAGTTTTTGTTGTTACATGCTAATTTATAAACTAACACAAATAAGTTTGCATCCGAGATAACTCCGCTAACAAATGTGCATTGAACAAGGCAAGGAAAATACTCCCATCCTAAATCGACTTGCGTCTTATTCTTTCTAGCTGAATGCGTTTTTTCTCAATCTAGCATGGCTCTGCTTGTGCCATAAAAGCAAACTTATGCCCGGTCTGTAAATAAATTTTTTTTTTAATATTTCGATATATCCAGTTTCTAACAATTCTGAATATTGTTCTACTGCTTCACATATCCAAATTGACGTTCATTTTATGTACTACCATAAGGCAGCAATGAACGCCAACGATCATTGCGAAAATTCAATACATTAAATTTAATGAAAACGTTTTGTAAGTTAACCAGCATTCTATGAAGTTTGGTGTTACAAATTGCTTGCATTAAATTCAGTGTATTAAATTATGATCGCCAGTGTTCGTCACTGCCTCAAAAACCAAGTTCAGGTGTTCTTCACTAAAATCCACGTAAAATGTGGATCGAAATATTGTTTACCAACAATGATCTGTGAGCTTTGAACATCAGTTGATTTACAAAATGCTTAAATTTAATTAGCCTCGCTAGCGATGTGAAAATAATTATTTTCCCCACTTGCACGCATATGACATGAAAATAAACGCCTAAGCTGGAAACTGATACATTGATTGATTGGCAGCATTGGTTATCTCTCTTTTTATACATGATAAGCAGATGCAAAATGAACAGCACATTACAATTTTGATTTATTTATGAGACGTACTGCCTACTATTTTGGAACTCTGGGCACGGCATTCATTATTTTTTCTCTATTTGCTAAAACTATTCCGTAAACAAATCTCTTCAGAAAATATTCATCGTCTTCAAAACCGTCGCTTATATTGTGTTTCCGTTCCAGGCGGATCATAATCTGGAAGTGGATATCAAGGAGGAAATGGAAGATGATTCGGACGAAGAGATGGAGGTAGTAACTTTTTTTGGTGTTAACTTATCGCGAACTACATTTTATTTTGTTTAGGAGGATTCCGACATTAAATCGGAGCCGCTCACACCTCAGGAACTGGAGGAACTTTATAAGAACGTGCACAGCTTCACCCCCGCTTGTCTGGACGAGGTTTCAGCGTTATTAAACGAGAGTGGGAAGTGGGAAGACCTTGCAGAGTTGCTGGACGTTACTTCGCTGTTGAGGTGCGGACTGATTTCCCCGACGCCCAATGTTAGCAAAAATCTGCTCACTTTCGCAGTCGAGGTACGGTTTCGCTATTTTAGAGATTATAAAATATTTGCTGCGTTTGCTTGCGATTGTAAAACTAATCATTGTTTATTTTTTTTTTTAGACGCATAATGATACTCTTTGGGAAATAAGGAATTTCTTGGAAAACTTGGACGAACTCCAAGCGGTGGAAAAAATAGATCGGATGGTGAGAGAACAGCAGTGAGTGGTTACAGATAGTACATATAAAGTTATTAGTTTTTTTTAACATTTTGTAAATATTTTTTATCGTTAAGTGTCTTAAATATTGTAATATGTAGTTTTATTATAATATATATTGTTATGAAATCGGAAGTTTTCATTTTATTGGTAGGGATATACAGGGTGCCTCAATTAATAGGTGTATAGGCCTTTAACACGGTAAGTAGAGTAAATGAAGTTAAAAATATCTTTTACGAAATGTACCCTATAACTACTTAGAATTCTAAATCGTAAATCAAAATTTTTTTTATAGCTTTCAATTTTTCCGTTCCACTCTTTTTTTAATAGTAATTGTCTAATGAATATTTAAACTTTAATGTCTTAGTTTAATTTTTAATTAGTAGAATATTTATAAGTATATTATACAGGGTGTCCCGAAATTAATGCAACAAAAATTGGTCAGATATTCTTAAGACAAATTTAGGGTACCCATATTTTTTCTTTTTACCAAGTAGCCCCCTCTTTTACAGTTACAGTCCCCTGAAGTCCGCCCCTAAGAATAGTGTTTTTTATATCTCGGAACCCTGTTGTAAATGAATTACTAAATTTGGTATACACTTTTTGGCGGGGAACCACCTTAAGACACTTTTTCGTGGGTCTCCTTGTCTTTGGAACCAAGAAAATTTGGTCACATATTCGAATTTCTTAGAAATTATTAGTTCGCTAGAAAGCCATTGAATTTAGAAACTTTTGTCTTAATATTTTTTTCCTAAAAGGCAGAAAAAAAGATATAATATTATCATCTTTTCATCTTTGTAATATCGGCAAGTCGCTGACTGCATTACCTTTTTTTTAGAATCAAATCAATTTTTTTTTCTATAAAATACTATGGAGGCCTTCATAGAGTTTGCAGCTCTGGGCCCACCCCAAGCAAGAATTACATGTATCTACAAAACGCAACCTTAAAAATATGACATTTTGAAATGACGTGCGACAGTTTAGACAATATGACTAGATTAATGTATATTAATTTTTACTTAATCAATATTTGCCCGTTTTACTAAAGGAGAGCCCCTAAAGTCGGTGTTTGGCCTAATTTATTTTTGGGTGAAAAAATTGAAAATTTTTTTTAGTAGCTTCTGTGCAAAACCGTACTTATCTTATCAACTTCGACGTCACCTGTTACATAGGTGTTGTATAATCATGAAAAAGTAATATTAACGGTCGATAGAAGGAAGCACAAAAAACAGGCACAGGTAGGAAATTCTGAAAGGAAGCCTAGTTAGTTGAAGATAGGCAGTTGAAGTGAGAACAGTGTGCAGATAGGTAGCAAGACGATCGGCGGGCAGTGTGACAAAGTAGTGTAAAATTAAGTGGTTAACCGGTATTAGTTAGCAGGTAATATCCTTTAAGTACTTTGTTGTTAATGGTTCTATGAAATCTTATGATTGTAATGTTTATAGATGTTTCATGATAATAATTCTTTGTATGTTTAGCTTCCGTCGCTTTATGCTCAAGGGCATATATTTTTCTAAGGTAAAATTGTTATACTTATTGTTAACGATTGCTCATTATTTATTTCATTTTGAAATATGTATATCGTCGTGGGCGCCCCCGACTTTACAATAATGACTCCTTTGTTTTACAGCTAACTTGTTTTTGTAGTGATGACGTTGTTCGTAAAATATAGATGTCTCATGATAATAATTCTGTATATGTTTAGGCTTCATTGTCTTACGCTTAGGGGCGTATATTTTTCTAATATAAAATTGTTACAATTATTATTTAAGGTTGTTCATTATTTATGACATGTTCAAATATGTATTTTGTCGAGACCGCCCAGATAGTGCAATAACGACTTCTTATTTCACATTTAACTTGTTTTAAACAAGATCATGTTGTTCTTTGATTTCTTGTGTCCACTTTATGTCACACGTCTATACGAGCCTTGTTGCAGTTACTAACATTTTCGCCCGTGCGGAA